TGTGTTATCTGTGGCCACATGATCTCACAATGGTTGCAAAGACACCCAGGTTACTCCTTCTTTTAGACCATTGAGAGAAGGCATAGGATCATTCGAAATGAAGTACAAAGCTCCTGCCCTAAGGGCTTACAGTCTATCTGGAAAGATGCCACCTGTGTCTAGGAAATACCAGGAAAAGAAAAAAAAAGAAGTGTGAGAATTGGTACTCTCTAGCCTAAAGGATACGAAAGCAAACAACTACTAGAACTTTATTGCTTGTACCACCCTTTGGTATTCAACAGCACAATGCCTGATTTTGTGATTTAACTTTTCCTGTTTTGATGCAGTGCCACCACACTGGGATTTTGTAATTATGAGCTTCAAAAGCTGAGACAACATCTTCTATTTCTGTGTCTCTTCCTACAGTGAATAATACATTCCTTGGCATTTCAATGTTAAAAAAAGAAAAAGTAAAAGAAAAATGCTGCAATAGCTGAGAGGGTTTAGAGTAAATGGGGTTTGGAGAGGGTCAGGTATTTTCCACAGCCAGGCCAGAGTGGGTGTTGTCACTTTAACTGTGGTGTCCTGGCTGAAGGCCAAAACTTAATTGTTGGTGACCCTTCCTTTTTTTTTTTTGAGACAGAGTCTCACTCTGTCCCCCAGGCTGGAGTACAATGGTGTGATCTCAGCTCGATGAAACCTCCGCCTGCCAGGTTCAAGCAATTCTCCTTCCTGAGCCTCCTGAGTGGGACTACAGGCACATACCACCACGCCTGACTAAGTTTTGTATTTTTAGTAGAGATGGGGTTTTGCCTTGTTGGTCAGGCTGGTCTCGAACTCCTGACCTCGTGAGCCACCCATCTCGACCTCCCAAAGTGTTGGGATTACAGGCGTGAGCCACTGCACCTGGCCTGACCCTTCCTTTTCTGCTAGCCACTGTTATGTACAGCGGGTTCACAAAAAAGTTCATTAATGTCCTTAAGAAGTCAGATGGGATGGCTCTGGTGGCTCAGTGCCCACAGACCAGCAAAAGACAGAATGTCCAGGCTGTACTGTAGGTGGCTGGCACCCCATCTTCTCGGTCACTTCCTGGAGGCCACACTTTGTGTATCTGGATTCTGTTTCTTTTTAAAATTATCCTATATTACTAATTTATGAATTTAAAATGTTTCTAGGTATATAGTAGATATATATATATTTATGGGGTACATGAGATGTTTTGATACAGACATGCAATGTGAAAGCACATCATGGAGAATGGGGTATCCATCCCTTCGAGCATTTATCCTTTGTGTTATGAACAATCCAATTACATTATTTTAAAATGTACAATGAAGTCATTATTGCCTATAGTCACCCCGTTGTGTTATCAAATAGTAGGGGTTATTCATTATTTCTAACTAGCTTTTTTTTGTCCCCATTAACCATCCTCACCACCTCCCCTACCCTCCCACAACACTTCTCAGTCTCTGGTAACCATCCTTCTACTCTCTATCTCCCTGAGTTCAGTTGTTTTGATTTTTAGATCCTGCAAATAAGTGAGAACATGTGATGTTTGTCTTTCTGTGTCTGGCTTATTTCACTTAACATAATGACCTCCAGTTCTATCCATGTTGTTGCAAACGACAGGATGTCATTCTTTTTTATGGCTGAATAGTACTCTGCTGTGTAGATGTTCCACATTTTCTTTATCCATTCATCTATTGATGGACACTTAGGTTGCTTCCATATCTTAGCTATTATAAACAGTGGAGCAGCAAATATGGGAGTGTAAATATATTTTTGATGTACTTATTTCCTTTCTTTGGTGTATATACCCAGCAGTGGGATTGCTGGGTCATATGGTAGCCTGGATTCTGTTTCTTATTTGCCAGTGGATGTTTTAAAGTATACATCCTATTGCCCTGCATCAACTGTCTCAAGGACATCCCCTCAGTCTTCTTCATTTTTACATATATGTTCATTATTTCTAAAAATGTTAAAATTATAGAAAAGTATAAAAAAAATAAAAATTATGTTTTCCAACAACTCAGAAATAGTCACTTTTAACACTTTGATATATATTTGTCGTATATCTGTGGTGTGTATTTGAGTGCATATAAATTTCATTCTGTTTAAATTATTTTTTTCCCAGTCAACAGTATACCATAAATATTTTTACATCTTTTTGTGTCAATCTGATTTCACCACAGTATTTAAACACTTGTCTGGAACTTCATTGTATACCATGATTTTTAATAAATACTCCACTTTTGTTGACTATTTTGATTGTTTCTAGGCTTTGATTATTATCGACTATGCTTCTATAATGTCCTTATACACATATTTGGGGGCACATATATGATTTTGGCTTGGTGTATATCATAAAAATGGATTTTCTGGTGGGGCGCGGTGGTTTACGGCTATAATCCCAGCACTTTGGGAGGCCAAGGTGGGGGCAGATCATAAGGTCAGGAGTTCAAGACCAGCCTAACCAATATGGTGAAACCCCATCTCTACTAAAAAATACAAAAATTAGCCGGGTGTGGTGGCGCATGCCTGTAATTCCAGCTACTCAGGAGGCTGAGGCAGGAGAATCGCTTGAACTGGGGAGGTGGAGGTTACAGTGAGCCGAGAACGTGCCACTGCACTCCAGCCTGGGTGACAGAGTGAGATTCCATTTAAAAAAAAAAAAATCGGTTTTCTGGGCCAAAGGATATGCATACAAGGCTTTTGCTTCGTGTTTGTGATGTTGACCTCTGGACATGTGATACCAGTATATAGTAGTATTATATAAGTTATTTTCCACCTCTTTCAGAAAAACCATTTTGTTATCTATTGGTATCGTTGTTAATTAGTCTCAAAGACTTTTAATGTTGTCTATAGTGTTTTTCATGTATTGAGTGCAAAAAGCAGGAAATAGAAAATGAAGAATCAGCCAAGAGCCTTGTTTGTTTGCTTGTTTGGTTTGGTTTTCTTTATGGTTTTACTGTAAGTATGTCTGGAAAAATCAAATTAAATGGAATGAGCTTGACTCAGAAGGAGGCCCCTTTCATTTTCCTGAAGTGAATTAATGGAGCACCCATTAGTTATTATTTCAGAAGCACACCAAGAACTGACCACACTTCTCAGTGTCCCCAAACTATTCTTATCTGTGAAAGTTTCATTTCACATACTTCTGTAAGGTCTAGGTATACCCTGATGGTGTTTGTGATGTCCTACATTACTCTTGATCTACTTTTGAACTATGAAACAAAGGAAAAATTGGAGGTCCAGAGCTCAGGATTCAGATATTACCTCTACTACTCACAGCAGAGCAAGTAACTTAGCCTGGTGGAACTTCATTTTTCTTTCTTTCTTTTTTTTTTTTTTTTGAGACGGAGTCTCGCTCTGTCGCCCGGGCTGGAGGGCAGTGGCCGGATCTCAGCTCACTGCAAGCTCCGCCTCCCGGGTTTACGCCATTCTCCTGCCTCAGCCTCCCGAATAGCTGGGACTACAGGCGCCCGCCACCTCGTCCGGCTAGTTTTTTGTATTTTTTTTAGTAGGGACGGGGTTTCACCGTGTTAGCCAGGATGGTCTCGATCTCCTGACCTCGTGATCCGCCCGCCTCGGCCTCCCAGAGTGCTGGGATTACAGGCTTGAGCCACCGCGCCCGGCCTCTTTTTTTTTTTTTTTTTTTTTTTTTTTTAAGACAGAGTCTTACTCTGTCACCCAGGCTGGAGTGCAGCGGCACAATCTCAACTCACTGCAACCTCCACCTCCTAGGTTCAAACAATTCTCCTGCCTCAGCCTTCAGAGTAGCTGGGGCTATAGGTGTGCGCCAACACGCACAGCTAATTTTTTGTATTTTTAGTAGAGATGGGGTTTTGCCATGTTGGCCAGGCTGGTCTCAAACTCCTGACCTCAGGTGATCCACCTGCCTTAGCCTCCCAAAGTGCTGGGATTACAGGAGTGAGCCACCGTGCCCGGCCCACTGTTTTTCGTTTTTTTTTTTTTCATGATGACAAACTTAAAGTCATCTCGTAGGAATAGAAAATAGCTTTTTAGTAGAAGCTCTTGGAATGTAAATTGAGAGTGAATGGAAAGATGAAAGAAAGTAAATTTATTAACATTTAATGAGAACCTTCCATGAACTAGGCGTAGTACCAAATGGTTTTATATTTTTAAGCTTCATTTATTCGTCTCAAAACACCTGGTAAGGAAGTATTTTTGCCATTTTACAGCTGTTGAAACTGAGCCTCAAAAAGACTAAGTAACTTGTCTCAGCCACACATGTGGCTAAGCCAGTATTTGAACCCAGGTCTGTTTGCAGACAGAACCTGGGCTTTTTCACACCTGCAAACCGGAAACATTAATTGGTTCTTAAGATCAGCATAGATGTGATAAAACCTGGGACAGAAATTAGTCAAGACTAGCTGCATCTGCCTTTTCCTGTGGTTGGTAGGAAAAGGAGGAGGATAATGATTTCCTCAGGCATGAAGGTTGATGATGAGCAAAGTGTATACTCTCTAATCTAATGTCATAATTCATATTGTGGAGAAATTATCATCTGGATAAGTGTAGGGTCTCTGATCTCATTTTAGGTATTGTACATTCAATGGCTCTTTTCATTTTGGCCCATGTACTCTCTTTGCTCTTATGAGCACTATTTTTATCCCAATTTAATCCTGTATGTTTGTGTTTTTACACAGATTAGTTTCTAAATGTTATATATAATTTGCTTCTGAAACACCATTGCTCAATGACTATGAAATCCTTCTCATTACCAAAATCCTTCTATGCCAACTTCTTCAAGAAATTTGATCACCTTTAGATGAATTGTTAATGAAAATTAAAGCTATAGCCAGCAACATGGGTATCTTTGGGCTAATGGCCAACCAACAGGCCATCTGTGTGAAAGAAAACAGGCTAACAATTTTGGACTCTGGTCTCTTGGGGCTACGTTGAGCATTGACCTCACCGGTGCTCACTGAAATTAATTGCCTTTCAGGTTGTATTTTCTCATCACGGAAACCTTCTTTTCCCAATTCAAACCATGTGGGTTAAAATGAGAAAACAAAAGCCAAAACGGCTCCCCACACCCAAAAGCTTCTTCTGTCAGAGATCCCAGTAGCCCCGGGAGAGCTGTTAGAAGTCTGAGAAGGATTGGTCATCATCGCATACCATACATAGGTGGAGGGCTTGTTATTCTCAGTTTCCCGCCTATGAGAGGATACCCCTATTGTTTCTGAAAATGCTGACCGGGACCCACACTTCCAACAAAAATTCCTCTACCCCTACAGCAGCAGCAACAGCAGCAGCAGAAGCAACAGCAACAGATAAGTGTTTTGATGAATTGCGAGATGGATAGGGCTTGAGTGCCCCCAGCCCTGCTGATACCAAATGCCTTTAAGATACAGCCTTTCCCATCCTAATCTACAAAGGAAACAGGAAAAAGGAACTTAAAACTCCCTGTGCTCAGACAGAAATGAGACTGTTACAGCCTGCTTCTGTGCTGTTCCTTCTTGTCTCTAACTTGTAAACAAGACGTAGTAGGACGATGCGAATGGAAAGTCACAAACCGCTGGGTTTTTGAAAGGATCCTTGGGACCTCATGCACATCTGTGGAAACTGGATGGAGAGATTTGGGGAAGCATGGACTCTTTAGCCAGCTTAGTTCTCTGTGGAGTCAGCTTGCTCCTTTCTGGTAAGGTTTGGCTTTATTTTTTTTAAATTAGTATTTTTAAAAACAGAGTTAGTGACTTCTGGGTGCTCTCCCCAAATCTCATCAGTGCTGATTAACAAGGGGTGGCTGTAGCAAAGGCACCATTTCTCTGTGAGTCTCCAGTCAATATGTGTGGAAGGATTGAAATGCAAAGTCTCTGTGGCATGAACTGATTTTCTTAGAGTTTGTCTTCTGGGTGATTGGCCCCTGTGTTATAAACTCGTTGAGGACCGATTAAATCATCTTATTTGAAGAGATCTCCTTACTATCATGCATTATTTTCCTCTTCCTCATTCTGGAGTGTTTTTCTTACTGAATTTTTAAAGAACAAACCAGTTTTACCTACTTTAAAGAGAATCTTCAGTAAAAAATGAAAGTCATGTTGAGAAATACAGGGGCCCTATTAAGGCAGTGTATAGATTGTCACTGTTTTAAAGAGAACAAAAATGCTTTTCTGTGAAAAGATTTTATATTTATATCCTATTTTAAGCAAATTAATGAAATTGTAGGCTTTTTTTTTTTTTCCTTGTAGTTAGGGTCAGGGAGATTGGGGCCATTAGAATTTTTGTTTTAGTTTTAAAAATGTTTGCCATCTAGTAATTCATAAAGGGTTTACTGGCTCAATGAAGCAAAAATTTAGGCAGTTACCAAGATCGTTAACACAGGAGAGTATAGAAGCCTGTTGTAGAGTGGAGGAATGGTTGGCCAGTATGTTTGGATTTAGTGTGTTTATTGCTCAGATACTCCAGATAGTGGTGTGTCTCTGTGGCTCACTCAGCCTCTGTGACATAGGCAGAAGGCAGTATCCAAACCCCAACTACAGATCCCAAATACATTATCATTGCCATCAGTCTCTTTCCTTCAGTTTGAAAACATTCTAATTATAATGAAAATTGAATTGATATTGGAGATAAATTTGGGAAAATTCACTAAACTTCATGGATATAGGCTATATTAATAGAATTTGATTCAAGTATACATAAGTATCTGCTCTATTTTCTAGATGTTTGAAATATTTTAAATAAAAAAAATCCAATTAAATAACAGAGTTGAATACAATTTGTTTTATAGCTCTCAACCAACATATTGAGAATTTAATAATATTTTTAAAAGTAAGAATGTGTAACACAAGTTGCTAAAAATTAAAGATTTTAGGTGGCTTCAGTATTTATATGGAAATTGTTTAAATAATGTTGACTTCTCCAATAATATGTACCTTTAAATAATTACCATGATTCCATTTTTGATTTTCTTTTTTTCTGAGGGCCATTATTTACCAGTGACATAAAATCTGAAACTGATTCTATACCAGGGATTATAGTGATGTGAAGCCCAGGTGTCTAGAGTTTCTCTGAGGTACTTTGTAGGTTAAGTAATACACACACAACGGTTTTCATTCACTTTTTTGCCCCTAAAGCAACTATGTTATAGCACTGTGCAATACAGGCTTAGAAGAATTGTCATCAAACAAAAAGGTCATGTGGCCAAAATAGTTGCTCCATGTCTAGACCTTAGATCCTTGAAAAAAACAGCACTGCCTTTAAAAGGGAGAGGACCAAGGAGAGGAAGTAGGTCATATTCTTGTTGGGAAGGGTGACACTAGCAAGGTTAGTTTCTGAGGTAGGTCTGTTGCCTTGATTGTAACTTGCATTCCTAGTCTAAGCCTCCATGAGCCTGACTGCTCGAGGCTTGGTAATTGCAACGAGAAGAATCCAGCTAGATCATGTCCACAGCCATAGGAGCCCATTTCTCTAGTCAAACTCCTGGTAGACTACAGCAGTGGGGCAAGGCGCTTATGGCTTATAGGTTTATCTCTCTAGTCCAGTGGGTTGTTTCTCATTTCTTTTTTCTGAACCAACAGACTGAAGAAAGAAATGCCACTTTTTTTCAGTGAAGGTGGCTCTGGATGGCAGAGTTGCTGGCCCATAAAATGGCTGCAGGAGGTGTGTAGGTCTCAGAAGCTCCTCACAAATATTCCTAGATTCTGTTGCTTTCCTTTCTGACTTGAAAATCATTGCTAACTTCAGGTTTCAAACAGTTTCTATTATATTAGCTTTTCCCTACTCTCCTATCCTCATCAAACCAGGCTGCTCTCTTTAAAGAGTTGTATACATAGAAAACTAACAAAAAAATCACTGATTTATCATAGTATCTTCTACATGAGCAACACTGATCTAATAGGAAGTCTCTAGTCTCATGCCTTCATACCCCTTTTACTGTGTCACTTGACTTTTTTTTTTTTTTTTTTTTTTTGAGATGGAGTCTCGCTCTGTCGCTCAGGCTAGAGTATAGTGGAGTGATCTCGGCTCACTGCAACCTCTGCCTCCCAGGTTCAAGCGATTCTGTGCCTCAGCCTCTCAAGTAGCTGGGATTACAGGCACCTGCCACCGCCATGCCCAGCTAATTTGTTGTATTTTTAATAGAGACGGGGTTTCACCATGTTGGCCAGGCTGGTCTTGAACTCCTGACCCTAAGTGATCCACCCGCCTCGGCCTCCCAAAGTGCTGGGATTACTGGCGTGAGCCACCACGCCCGGCCTTGTCACTTGACATTTTAAATAACAACTGGATTCAGAGATAGCAGACATCTTGTCTGGAGTGGCAGAGGAAACAGTTGTAAGGTCAGGGAAGTGCTCCCAGATGAAACCTCCTTGTTAGGGCTGGTCTCAGAAGGCTAGTGTCAGGTCTGAGTAATCAAGGGTGGAGGTCTGGAAGCTGGGATCAGAGACACCCTTTGGAATTATTCTCAGAAGGAGGAGCTTGCTTTTTTCACAGATGCTCCCTTCCAAGCATTGTCTTCATTGTTAGGTCTCAGCATTTCCCTTTCAGCCCTGCCCTGGGAGAGCTTCCTGGAAGAGTCTGGTTCTTCCAAGGCGTCTCTCCAGGAGGGAAGGAGTCTTCCAAGTTCATCTCAAAGGACTATGTGATGTTCTCTGGGGATTTAGGTGGGTGGGCTCTAAATTCTTCTGAAATTATCAGTTTGCCTCCTGAGCCTCTATCTCCCCAAAAGATATCTGTGTGATTGTATCACCTGCTTATTCTCTGTAGATGGCTTACTGGTGAGCGCACAGAATCAGGATTTAGAGTGTTCTAGGCTGGAAGGGTGGAAAACCAAAACAAAAAGATACTGTTTCAAAATAGACAAATGTCAAGTTCTGTGTTTGGGTTTAAGAAATAAATTATGTATATTTAATGTGGGAGAGACCCGGTTTGTTGAAAGTTCTTGTGAATGACACCTAGGTTTTGGGGATACACAAAACTCATGGAAGCCAACATATGCTCTGCTTGCTAAAAAGGTAATGTATAAACTGTAATGTGTTGCATTAGCAGAAATATAAAGTCCAAATCAGAAATGGTAATCACTTCACTTAAATCTACTGCTTAGAGCACATCCATGAAACACTGAAGACCTGAGAAATTTAACAGCAAACATAGCAGGCAAACTGAAGGAGGAAACATGGATTATGAAGTCAAAGCCCAAATTGGATAGCCATAAGCAAGTTATTTAATTTCTCTAAGCCACATTTTTCTCATCTTTTACGGATGAAATACCCATTTCCAGGGTTGTGATGAGAATCAAATGTGATAATGCCTGTGAAATGCTTAGCCAGTAAGAATGCTCTTAATAAATGAAGCTTGGAACCAGACGCGGTGGCTCATGCCTGTAATTCAGCACTTTGGGAGGCCGAGGCAGGTGGATCATGAGGTCAAGAGATCAAGACCATCCTGGCCAACATGGTGAAACCCCATCTCTACTAAAATACAAAAATTAGCTAGGTGTGGTGGTGTGCGCCTGTAGTCCCAGCTACTCGGGAGGCTGAGGCAGGATAATAGCTTGAACCCAGAAGGTGGAGGTTGCAGTGAGCTGAGATCACACCACTGCACTCCAGGCTGGTGACAGAGCGAGACTCCATCTCAATAAAATAAAATAATAAATGAAGCTAGTGTAATCAAAAGAGAAGTGTTACCATGAGAACTACTGTGCTAGTCAAGACTGGACTGATCTGCCCCAGGATGTAGGAGAATCATTAACATTCATAGGTGCTGTCGCCTACAAAACCGCAGCATAATCCAATCTCAAATTTTGTGCTGGCCAATTCCAACTTAATAAACCCAAACACTTTGCCAACTACCCATCTACCATCCCCTCACTTATCCATTTATCCCTGTTTGTATCTTGTCTGCTTCAACCAGGCCCATCTCCACAATCTACACATTCTTTCCTCTTGGCTCTTGTTCATGCTGTTCCATCCATTTAGAAATGACATCTTTCATATCTACTCTGCAAACACAATTCAACTCAATTTGCCTGGGCCAACTCTTCCTCCTGATATTCTTCTCCTAAGTTTAGGCTCCTTTACCATGCAGATTGTGTCTTTGAGCTTTGGGCGGCCAGATTTAGCCCAATTAGCCTCTAAATCTCTCACAACAGATATTATTTCTTTTCTCATTAGTACATGTATTTAATATTTAGTAATTTTTGTTGAATGGAGTTTTATGGTCACAGTAAGAAAATGTTGGTACTTCACAGCAGACCTGAAAGGAAAAGAGAGCATTGTAGAAAGGATCTCAGTAATATCGAAATAATAATATTACATTGGGCCAGGCACGTTGGCTCACACCTGTAATCCTAGCACTTTGGGAGGCCGAGATGGGCTGATCACGAGGTCAGGAGTTTGAGACCACCCTGACCAATATGGTGAAACCCCTTCTCTGCTAAATATACAAGAGTTAGCTGGGCGTGCTGGCGCGTGCCTGTAATCCCAGCTACTCAGAAGGCTGAGACAGGAAAATAGCTTGAACCCAGGAGGCGGAGGTTGCAGTGAGCCAAGATTGTGCCGCTGCACTCCAGCCTGAGTGACAGAGCAAGATTCCATCTCAAAAAAATAAAATAAAATAAATAAATAAATAAATAAATATTAGGTTGGTGAAAAGTAGTGACAAAAACTGCAATTACTTTTGCACCAACTTAATCAATTTTAT